TTCTTGGGACTTCTAGGACTTCTTGCGTTAATCACGCTTCGTATGATATGTACCCGGTTACAAATGATAACCTCTAAACAGGCTATGATGGCCTCAATTCAATTGGCTTTTATTTAAAAAAAGGGGGAATTTGTGGGAAAGAGAGGTCCAGAGGTCTGGTTAACGGCTGTGGCAGAGGAGTGAGTCTGAGCACACTCGGACTCGTCATGTCCTTGGCTCGCGGAGTGAGTCGCCCTGCCTAGGCTGCCCCGCTCTGACCTGTTACTTCCGCACAGCCCCGGGCCAAAAGTACCGCCTCCAAACCATGCTCCTAGCCCACCTCCATTGCCACGCCTCTAGCCTGCTCAATAAAATGCCTGGTACTTCCGCAATAAACCCGATCTGCGCCATCAGCCTGGTCTCCAGTGTCTTCTTTTCACCATGTTGCCACTTACCACGGGCCTAGGTCCCTCGACCCAGGGAGGTTCAACCTCAGGTAGCCACCAGCCACATTCTCCCATTGAAGTTACTGTTAATTGCAATCACATTCTACTGTACGATCTAATCATTGTATTCTCAGGTATGTCCCCGGGAAAAATGAAAGCACATTCCCTTCACAAAAACTAGAATAATGTGTTCATGGCAGCTTTATTAGCAATGGTCAAAAACCAGGAGGAAAAAACAGGTATGATTGCGCATGATTGTAATACCAGCACTGGGGAGGCTGAGGCAGGAGGATCACAAGTTCAAGCCCAGCCTTAGCAACTTGGAAAGACCTTGTTTCAAAATTAAAATTTAAAAAAAGGGCTGGGACTGCAGCTCAGTGTGAAGGCCCTGGGTTTAATCCCTAGTGCCACAAAAAATGAATAAATACAGAGAGAAACAAATACTCATCTACAGATGAACAGATAAACAAATTCAGGTATTTTCATACAAAGGAATACTACTGAGCAACAAAAAGGAACGAAGTACTGATAGCATGCGGCAACACGGGTGACTCTCGCGTGGAGCTGAGTGACGATAAAACCAAGAGTCAATACTGTACGTTTATCTAAAATTCACTTGGGACCGAAAGCAGGTCAGGCTGGCGGCGGCTGCGTGGGGATTACACAGCCACAGGAGGGAGCCACCTTGCGGGCCACGAATGTGTTCACGCCTTGCTCTGGTGGGATGTTAGGGCTCAGGTCGCGAAGGTCCCCGGAAAGGCTGGAGCCCCCGGAGGCGGGCGTGGGCAGCGAGGGGCCGGGGCGC